CCCACATTTAGAAACCATTAAATGCAATGTTTCTTCTTACCTGTTTTAATGGCAGAAAGGATCTGATGGGATGTGTAATTTCAAATCATTTAAATGTGAAATAAGTCTTGGACTCTTCATTGATCCTGGTGTTAAACTGTTCTTGTTATTTCCTAGTTCCATTCAATACTTCCCTTTCCATTAGTCTTCTATGATAAAATCTAATTTCAAGACACTTGGATATTCAATAATTTGGGACAAAATTTAAGTGTGCATTCAACTGAAATGCTTTTATTATTCTGGCTTTTCTATGAATCTAGCAGCAACACAACTTTATTTCATTTTGGTTTTTGACATAACTCTACGTTGTACTAAGTTGTCTGCCAACGACAGTTTATTATAAACCATGTGCTGACTGGACTATCTGATTACTGATTTCAAAATTACTACTGTTGTACTGTTGTCCAATGGTTAAGATTCATAGCTCTAGTGAATAGAACTTTTGCTTTATTAATGGAAAATATGAATGAAATGTTTTTAATTAATGACATTTTGTAATAATCAGAAACAGTTTAAATGTGTGCTAATTACTAACCTACTATTTGAAACTAAACTTGTCAAGCTAGCTGTGACAAAATGTAAATACTTTATTTTTATTAGATTTGAAAGGCAGTTGATTTTAAAATGCCTAAGTGATGACAACAAAAAAGTCTGTTTAAAGCTTTGGCTATTATCTTAATTGAGTTCCTCTTTATGATATGATATATATTGATTAAAGAGAGATTTGGCGGTCATCCAATGGCTAGATATTTCGGTTACTGCCAGTCTGATCAGACATTAGTTATAATTGCATTTTTAATAAACTCTTAAAAAATTAATAGCAAAGTATTAATAGGAAAACATGTCTTGACTATGAAATATCATCATAAATCATTATTCAAAAACTTTATTTTTTGGTTGAAATATATGCACTTCATTGCATGGTTAATTTATTATATCTCTTTCACAGAGTGATTTTAAGCTGGCTTAACTAAGTCAGCTTAAGTTATCCAATGTGAGTGAAATTGACTTAATGTTAAACCAGTTTAACTACCAACAACTAGCTCAACTTAAATTGTTTTTCCAACGTTGCTTCAAGCTATCCTCGAGATCCACCACAAGTTTAAAACAAAATGGCAGAAGCAAATATCCAAATGTGCAATATTTTTTTTATTGGTAAATATACTATACACTGTTTTAATTGGTAATATACTGTACACCAGGCATGGTCACCATACGGCTCGTCTAATGAATTTATGCAGCCTGCGATTAATCTTTCAACATTAGCTACTGAAGTCCAAATAGCTCGATGAAGAAAATTCTGACGCCTAAAAAAAAGTCAACAAAACTCACTGCTGTGCATTTGGAGTTAACCCTCCATTACAAATTTAGTCTCTATGGGGTGACACCACAATGAGATCTCGCACCACCTCAAAATCTTCCTAGGGCAGCCTCTGGTTTGGCCCGTAGAAAAAGTTTTCTTTCCAATTCGGCCTGGGACAAAAACTGTTGGCCACCCCTGCTGTACACTAAATATTTTGAGTAACATTTCAGAACATCCACTGTTTTCATAGTTGAATTAACAAGATTAATATCTTGTTGTCAACAACCATAATAGTAAAAATGAATGTTTGGATAAAACATCTATTCAAAATAATTATTTGAAATTGAGGTTTTAAACTGAAATTATACAAAATAAGTTAGTGTACAATGGTTTGTCAAAAATAAAATTTCAGTTTTATTTAAAATTTAATTTATAATTGTTAGTGGGCAACATGAAGTAAGTCACTTGACGTTATGCAATGTGAATGAGTAGTTAACCCTGTTATCAATAATTTGACTTAATTCTCCTCAACTATTGAGTCAGCTAAAAAAATTAGTGTGAAAGGGGTTTTAATTTATGTATAGAGTGGGTGATCGGTTAACGAACAGTTCAGACAATGAACAAATTGGATAATAAACACTTTTTTTGCAAAAGATTTTTATATTCGTGCAATGAATACTTCACAGAACAAACAGAAAAAGAAGTGACATAAAATAGTGAATATCGATTAGTCTTCCCTTGTCTCCAAGTGACAATTGGAAACTTTTTGGAGCTCTGAAGACGTTGACGCTCAACCCAATACCAATCAGATAGTATTCCTCCGAACTTTGAAACTCTCCCTTGTAATTTCAGCTTTTTGTTTACCTTTCTGACGAATAATTTTTTATAGTCTTTGCGAGACTTTCGGGCGGGTACTCATTAAGTTTTGCGTCGGTGTTTATTTACAAAAGGCGCGAGTTTAACTTCTCATCGGATATTCGTTAATGTTTTAATACCAAATTTTGAATTTCATCTGGTCCTTGCATTTAAATAATTTTTTGTGATCTAGTTGATTTCTGTTCTCTGAATTTTTCTAAGTGCTTTTCTGAACTTTTTATTTAAAAAAGAAACTGATAATATTATGGAGCCTAAAAAGAGTGGAGTATCAAGAACTAATAATGCTCACTGTAGAAACAACCAAGAGATAATAGCCAAGGTAGAGAGTGGGCACAAGATGTCTGTTGTTGGTAGGCAGTATGGCTTGAACAGGTCTATAGTAGGCACAATCTTAGCTATGATAGATAGATATATCAAGAAGTCTCAAGCAGCTAAAGGAGTAATGAAAATTACATCTGAGAAATAGAGCATTGAAAAGCTCATAATGGAAACTGATGTGACGACAGAAAATGCCAAGAAACTCAGCGAGATGTGTTCTTCTTTTTCAAAAAAGATGAAAGAAAACCAATGCCGACATCTGCTATTAAAGATCTTTTGAAGAAGTGGGAAGATGTCAGAACAACAGACATTCAAATGGCATCCAAACCAGAATGAGGCTTGGAATCTCTACAATTATAATATTAATTAATTCCAAAAAATCCTGAAGAGAGAGAAGCAATAGACATTGGACAGATTCTTTAGCCTGTCCTACATTGATCCCGAAAATATTTATGTTGACCTCATTGACCTGCATGGGCGATCCCAAATATTTCCTTGTTTACATCGGAACGTTTTTGATACTAGATGTCACTTTGCGTCACAATTTTTATATTAAGACAAACTTTTAAAATTATTTTTTGTTTTTATGTTGTTCAATATATATATATTTGTTTGTGAAACACAAAAAAATAACTTTTTCGATACAGTAAACACGATTATTATTTTAAAAAAATTTAGGCTTAACATCATCAAAAATTCAACATGGCATCACAGGCAATAAATAAAAATTTCAACATCAAAAAATAGGTTAACCCCCACAACAAATGGAAAAAACATGACCCCTAATAAAAATGCAAGACTGTGTGTATATGTACTTTTACTACTACATATACATACTTCGTTTATTTATTTTTTTGGAGTCTCCCGAATGAATTAATCAAATTCCTATTAAAAAAAATTCCTATGGTAAATCAATAATCAGTTAACAAGCAATTCAGATAGTGAACAAAGTCTTGGAACAGATTATGTTCATTAACTGATCATCCACTGTATTCACAATGTTTTTTTTTTTTCTCGATGATGATGTGCTATATATTCTACTGGGTAATGAACAAATTCAACAGATTCTCACCTTTATAAAAGGAATAAACTGGTATTCAGTAGTATAGATCACTGCTGTAAGCAGTTATTCACTAAATCACTGATTCCCAAACTTTTTTGATCTGCCGCCTTGTTGGTTCCATAAACTTACTCAGTTCCTCCTAACCCATTTTCCTTTGTGAGAGAGTGGCTTGGAAATAGTCTTAAAAAACTTTTCAGTGATCCTTGCACTTTGTGTCCTTACTGAACATTGTTCTCTACATCTGGAAAATATTAAATACAATGTTTATCTGTTTTAATGGAGGAAAGGTAAAAGATTGCCAGTGACCTCAACCCTCATCTATGATTATTGTTTAGTCAGTGTCCCTGCCACCAAGTTGCTTCTTTTCACTTTCCTACTTTTACCCACTGGACTAAACGAATACTTTCAATGTGCTGTGGTACTCCTTGGTCTAACAAGACCCACGCACCAAAAATCCCACAGTTGACAACTAACTTAAATCATAAGTCTTCTGACTGCAATTTTTTTTGCTAGTATGGGTTCTACAGCAAAATCCAATTGTTTAATGGACAGCTTCCCTGGTGCAATGCTCACCTATTATGGAAATTTACTGACAGGGACCAGAGTATTTTGTAATTAAAAAACACAACAGAAAAGATTCCTCAAAGATACTCAAACCAATAAAGTGTTCTGTTGACAAAGATGAAATAAGGATTGCCAAGTGTTCTGTTGGAACGAATTGAATGTGATTTGTAGTTTTGGTGGAATGCTGCCATTCTAAAAGCAATTAAAGCTACCATATTTTCTATGACTATGCGTAAGTTTGACTAATGTCTAAATACCAAAGTAGATTGTATAATGGTAGTTTACTTTTAATGTTTCTTTTCATTGTTTTGATATTTTTTAGTGAAATTCATTCTCAGATATGTTGATACTCTTTGTGCATTTTCAGTAATGAAAGCACATGTATCTTGATTTGTAAATCAAAATACATGTGCTTTATCTCATTAGAAAAGACTAATTTACCTGTTTATTTTAAAATATTAATTATAGATGTGACTGAAGTGTTTAGCATGCCGTCACATTCTGAATAGGCAGAAAACTGTGAAGGAATATCATTATAGTAATTTTTTTTATACTAATAAAATTTGTATGTAAAGTTTTCTGGGGTTCTTTCATTTTTGTTTTTTGTTTGTTGTGTATGTGTGTAAATGCTTTTAAAGTGTGGCACTAATCTATGCCTTCATTCAAATTTTGAATGATAGTTGAAACACATCAATATTACGTATAGGGTGCACAATTTCTAGTGATCTGTAGTTTGACCTCCTTAAATTGTCATAAGTAGTTTCAATATTTGTTGCTTACATAAATTTTGCAATTGAATCTTCTCACCATTTTAATGAAACTTCTTTCTTTTTGCAGAACTCTTAGGTCGAGGAAATCCAGCAAATTACCAGAAGCTGCTAGAACCTGTTCCTACAATATCAAGCAGGTTTATGCATTTCCTGAAGGTTTGGAGCACTAATCGTTTAGAAGCAAGGTAGTAATGACTATGTTTGTGTTAAATTGCTTCAGACGTCTTGTCATAACAGTCTTCTTTTTGTATCTTTCAGAATTCTCTGTAAACATCAAATATCACAACCTTTTCGATCGTGACTACTCTCTCCTCCACCCCTTTTCGTGGTACACCTCACCAGATTGCCATAAGTTAGGCTAGCAGCTCTTCAGCAAATTTGTGAAGCAGTGATTGGACGTGGCCAAAAATAATATTGAAAATGGGGAGTGTTAATGTTAATCGAAACCTTTCTGATCAGTTTTATCGTTATAAAATGCCAAAGCTTATTGCCAAGGTAAGCCAAATGCATTGCTAAAGTTCATAGTAGTAGCAAGAGACTTGGAATATACAATTTTAAGTTCTCTGCCACTTTATTTATAATGAATGCATGTTGTTGCGAAAAAGTTTATCAACTTTTGCTTGATTATAAGAGGCTTTATGTGCCTGTTGACAGAATTTAGGATAGGAGATAAAAAAGTTACTCAATTTAAAAGGAAACTTTTTCACAATTTTTAGATTGTCAAAATTTAGTTTGGGAGAAAATTATTTTGCAGTTTAAATTACTGTTGTAATTTTGAATATAGCTTTGGTAGTTTTAAATTTGCAATCAGTTAATGCATGATGTAATTTATATTACAAATATATTTTGGTTAAAAACACTTAATTTCTTATTACAAGTTGATAATCAAGGATTTTAATTTTCCAGGTTGAAGGTAAAGGTAATGGCATAAAAACTGTTGTTGTGAATATGGTTGAGATAGCAAAAGCATTGAATAGACCTCCAACATGTAAGTAAACTTTGCTTAGATGCAAAACTGTCTTAAATTTTGACAGAATTAACTTTTTAAGACAATAAAGTAACACAATATAAACTGAGCAACAAAATCGATTTGTCAGCAATTTTTTAATTTTAATGGCCTTGACATTTCGAAACTTCAATGACCTTTCTATAAATATAACTTGTTTTTCAGTATGTTTGCTTATAGAAAGTGATATTTGAAATAAGATTATGAAAAAGTTGTGAAATCATTTAATAAATGTTTTTAACTGGGCATTGAAAATAAACTAAATATGATTATTTTAATAACACCACAGATATATATATATATATATATTATATTTATTGTTCTGCTCTGTTAAGAATTTAACTAAATTAATTTATTGTCCAATGACACCCTTTCCAAATGAATCTATATATAAAAATGGTTAAGATTCTTTGGGGCAAGGATTTGAATCAGAGTTGGCACAAATTTTTGTTGATCAGCCATGTAATGACTGATGGGATTGACACAGATTTCAATCCCATCAGTCATTACATGGCTGAATCCATTAAGGGTATGCTTAAAAGGTGTTTTAGTTCTTGAAAGGCAGAAATATCAAATAAAAACATGAATAAAAATTAAGAATTATTGAATAAAGTTCTTTTTAACACAGATACATACACAGCCTATAAACATGTGAGGTTCTGGCTGGGGGTAGAGGGTCTTAAATATACTCTCTCACTTAATCGGCTTCTAGTCGGTTGGACTAGCCCTCTTGTCTAAGGATGGCTTATTGAACTTATATAGATCATGATTTGGAAAAATAGAGATCTTGTCAGGACTGACACCAGTTATTCTACTTTTAGTGGATTAATGTGCATTTTAAATATTAAATGAATTTAGATAGGAGGGGCTACTTCTCAATGAGAATGGAGACTAATTGATTAGAACATTATAAAAACAACAATATTTAATAAAAGTTAATGAAACAATTACAATGAAAATAAAACATACTGAGAGATCAAATATATGCTAATCGAATCTATGCATGTGTGAGAGTTTACATAAATCTATCATTTATACTACCTTCACATAGGCGGTTTATTCTTGTCTGCGGTTGACATACGATCTTTGTTGGAGGAGATGAGAATGTGAATCGTGAGCGTAACTTCTATGTGCGCATTAAAAATTATTGCCTTCTTATGTGGCTGTCTTTTCTAGGGTATCTCTTCATCACTGCTGCATAAGTCATGTTGCACATTCTATCTCTGGTGAACTGTGCCAAAAGGTAGGAAATCTACCCCTTTTTATAGGGACGGCTGAGTAACTGACTCATCGTCATAGGACATTGAACTTCCTTTCTAGACTGACTAAAGTTTAACTCCCTTTTTCCTCCCTTTTCAACATCATTTTTGTTAATATTTTTATCAAAGAAATAAAATATTTTATAGTAATTAATCTAATTAAACTGTGGATTTCACAAACATAATAAAAGCTTGTTCTACGACTCTGCCTTGATCCTCATCTGGCATAATACTAGATATCCATATATATTTCACATAGTATATACTCCTCCACTGACATCATAACATCACAAATGTACCATTTAATTTCTTGGATGTAATATTTAGTTAAAATTTAGCAAAATATTTAAAGTTGTGTGGTTTTNACCGTGGTCGACCGCAAAGGTTTTGAAAGTAGCCCGTGTTCTACGACTCTGCCTTGATCCTCATCTGGCATAATACTAGATATCCATATATATTTCACATAGTATATACTCCTCCACTGACATCATAACATCACAAATGTACCATTTAATTTCTTGGATGTAATATTTAGTTAAAATTTAGCAAAATATTTAAAGTTGTGTGGTTTTTTTTAAAAATTAGATTTAAAGTCAAATAAAATACAGTGGAACCTCGGTATACGACCTTAATCCGTTCCTGGTGTTTGGACTTATACCAAATAGGACGTATACCAAACCAACCTTTTCCACAAGAAGTAATGTAAAAATGATTAACCCGTTCTCATGTAAAAAAAATTGCTGGCTTTCCTCGCTAGTTTCTGCTTGATTTTTCATGAGATCAGCATGTATCCTTTTAACTTTTTCGCAAATAATTTCTTCCGATACGCTGTCACCGGCACACTGTTTTTCAGTTATCTAAAGCAGAAGCAATTTCTTGACATGATCTAATGTCTTCGATCTCTGTTTAGAAATTGATTTAACCCCTTTCTCAACGTTAGCAAATTTAATACAGCAATGTCTTTATTTTTCACGATTGTCGATATCGTCATTCTTGGAATACGGAATGCAACAGTTAAATCTCGTTAAATCTAGAACACGCGTGCCACCTTCATATTTCTTAACAATCACTTTTTTCAGTTCCGTTATGATTCTAGTCATTTTTTTATTTTTCTGTTGCCCTTTTTCAATTCATGATTAATAAAAATAATAAAATGTTACTTACAAATTAAAATCAGATGAAATTTAAAAAAGTTATAAACTGTAGCACTGCGAACGTCTAGTCTAGTGTAGTACACCGATAGTGCTACTTGTTCATAGATGGCGTGTATAATTGAATTAAGTCGTATACCGAGCAAAATTTGTTTTGTCCAAACAGGACGTATTCCGAATTGGACGTATTCTAAAGCAGACGTATACCGAGGTTCCACTGTAGTTTTAACGTCAACAAAAACAGATGACTGACTAAAAATCTGGAGAGTGAGTTTAGCATAAATTAAAGAACATCATATAATTGAATGTAAGAATATTATAATATGGTTTCCAAAAATATACTGTTCAGTGTCATCTAAATATATAAAATTACTTGTCCTGACTGACTGAGTCACTGATTTGATTCATCATCCAGAGCAAACTGCTGAACCTAGAAGTGAAATTTGGTACACAGTTAGGGTACATCATGAGAATGGACACTAAGAAGGGATTTTCTGAAATTCCCCCACGATGGAGAGAATTAATGCTTAACCTGAAGAATGGCTTTTGAAATTGATTCCCATACTTTCCCTTAAATTTATAACATTTCAGACATTGTTATATAAATTTTTATATATTTAGATTTCTAACCAAATGTTCGAACTGTTTTAAATTTGAATTTGTTATTGCATATTGATTCGATTTATAGAACGATTGTAAACATTCCAGAAAACTGATCAAATTGAAAACAGTTCATTTGATTCTCAGCAATTCTTATCATTTTTGGCAGTAGGTGTTATATAACAATTACTATGGTTGTTGAAATACCGAATATAAATGGGGTTTGCTTTCAAAATCCCTGCGGGCAAAGTCGCGTGTAACAGCTAGTTCATCCATAAAAGATCAGTATCACAACTAGCAAAATCCAGACTAATAGATATTCTCTAAATGGATGTAATCCTGATTTTGAACTTTATTCAATTGCTCAGTTTATTGGACAAAAGTTTATAATTTGATTATTTTGCACGTCGTGTAATGCACTATTTACACAAAGTGCATTATTTCACTATCTTTTGAAAAACTGAAATTTTGACATTTTATTGCATTTAGAGTATTACATACTTCATTCCAATATAATTTATTCATATATTAGTTACAATTTTTCATTAAATTTGTCCTAAAATCATAGTTTAAACTGTGGGTTTTTGTAACATTTAGATTTACTGTATTTTTGCAGAATGACTGACATGCTGGAGCCATATTCTGGTCACTATCTTTGGTCTCTCATCTCTCACAAGCCGGTCACTGATTGGCTAATCATTTGGCTTAGCCAATCAGCGACTGGCTTACGAGAGACCAGAGACAGTGACCAGAATATGGCCCCCCCCGGTCTATTTGGGGAGACCAGGAAATCAGATACTTCCATATGGTAAAAGCCAGCATGCCAGTTTATGAGAGGTTATACATCCCTTTCTAGAGGGTGCATTTAAAAAAAATGGAGTTATGTCACTTAAAAAGTAATGAGGTCTTTTATTTTAAAACTGAAACTGTCAGCTTTACATCAAAAACTATGATTATATGATTAATTTCTTCATTTTGTTTTTTTAATGACAAAATACTCATGGAATTTCAAAAGTGCTTTTTTTTGTATTTGTATTTTATTGTCATCTGATTCAAAAATGCAAGGATAAACATATTAAATTTAAGAAACTTGCTGTAAATTATTTAAGCTTACACCAACATTGGCTTTGTGTGAAATTTGAGAGGATGATGATATTTTTAGGGTTGGGATAGATCAGGGATGGCCAACATGTAGACCGTGGTCGACCGCAAAGGTTTTGAAAGTAGCCCGCGAAGCTAAAGTTGAACAATTTGCTTTCACTTAAATTAATGTTTAAAAATCTTAATTTGATAATTTATTCTTACAATAATAGACTCTCTGTGCAATGTACCCATACTGTTTGTATTAATCCCAATGAACAATGCAAATGAATGTTAACGCATGCGCATATAAAAATCCTAAAATTGTTTGCCCATATTCATAGTTGCCTGCGGACTATATTTTACCAAAAAAGTAGCCCCTAAGGGATAAAAGTTTGGCCATACCTGGGATAGATGGTCAATGTAGCCCATACTTTACTACTACTACTACTACTACTACTACTACTGTCAATAAGTCATTAATTGTTTTGTATTGTAAACAAGAACTCTTCTGGATGTTATTTTGTTGTACTCTGAAGAATGTTTTTTTTTTTAAATGTTTAATTAACCAATTAGTTTCGTTATCTGATTTTTATATTTTAGTTGCAATTTAATCAACATTCTGTTCTCCTTCGTTTTATGCAGAATGCTGGTCATTCCATGAAAATATGGTATGACTAGTGTGAGATATTTTGGTTGCATGTAACAACATAGGCAACACATTAAACAGACTTTTGAATTCCTAATAAATGTACTTGTTCTTAATGTCACTTAGTCTTATGCTGTATGTTATAGTAAATATGTCCTGCTTACAATCAAAATAAAAGTTCATAAAGTAAAAAGGTGGTGTTGTATTTTCTTAGAATATATTACTTTGATGATTTCAGAATAGTTTTTCAATAGAACTTTCTTTTTTTCTGAAACTTATTGATTTTATTTGCAGATCCTACTAAATATTTTGGATGTGAGCTTGGTGCTCAGACACAGTTTGATTTGAAGAATGAGCGTTACATTGTTAATGGATCTCATGAAGCAGCAAAACTGCAAGACATTTTGGATGGATTTATAAGACGATTTGTCCTGTGTCCATCTTGTGATAATCCAGAAACTGTGTTGGTACGGTAAATTTCCAAATCTTTTATAATTTAATTCTAACAAGATGCTAAATTAAAATTTAATACATAATTTTAGGGAGTGCTTCAAAAGAAATGTGTGATTACCGTCAAGTGTAAAGCTTGTGGCTATAGTGGACAGCTGGATAATGCTCATAAGTTAACAACTTTTATTCTGAAGAATCCACCTGATCATGTTAGTTGGAAGAAAATAAAATTCTCTATTTTCTTATATTTTATCAGTGCCTTAATTAAAATAATTATACAATTAGGATCCTGCCACCTGCGGTGCTTCTGTTAAACCGGGTAAAAAAGGAAAACGTAAGCGTGATGATAAAAATTCTAAGAAACAACAGAATGGTGATGATGGTTCACCTCACGATTCTGATCCAGAAGGACAGCGCAAGGTATTTGAATACTTTGAAGCATGAAGGAAGAAAAAGAAAATAAGATAGTAAAACTTGTCTGTATTTCAGGAAAATGGTGAAAGTGATGATAATGATTGGTGTGATGATACCGATGCAGATGCTGTAGCAAAGCGAATGGAGGTGCTCACCACAGGTGCCAAAAGCTTAACTTTAAATGATGATCTTGAGAAAAGCCAGCAGCAAAGACTTGATTTATTTTATGAATACGTTAAGGTATGTGTAATAACTAATTTACTAGCCATTTTTATTTTAGGAAGTATTTTGAAACTAGAGAATTTGAGTTGCAAATATTGTTTTTGTTAAAAATTATTGAGACTTGTTGGTGTAATAGAAAAGTTTGTCTACAGATTGATAACATGCTGAAAGTTATTTGGATAGTTTTCCATTAAAATCAACAGATAACTTGAATTATGTGCAAAGAAAGTTATCACCATTTCATTGGTATTTAAAGAGAATAATGAAGAAATTAACACTAAATTAGATGTAGAGGATTACAAATAATGCTTGGAATTCTTCAGTTCCAGATTTCAAAAGCTATCTATATTATTGAACTTTTCCTGTCAAACTTACAGTAATCTGGTGAAATGTCATCTTAAATACAGTAAGACTGACTTTCCCTGCCAAACACAGAATTAAAATGTTTGTTTTTCTTTACAAATATGAAGTATTGAAAATATTCCAAAATTTCTACCAAAGCTGCAATCTAATTCTAATTGTGCAGAAAATTTTTTTGAAGTAATGAGAGATTTGACAACTTAAGATACCATCATAAGGGTTAAATTAAGATTTTTTTTTAATCTAAAAGGATACTTTTTATAATTAGTCATATTTTTTTTAGATTGGGGGATGGTAGTGTGTGGACGTGGACTGTCAATGCCCTATACACACTAGCACATGAAAGAAAGCAATTTACAAATAAACTGATTATTACATAGGTTGAAAGACTCAAATTATACAAATAATTAAATAGACCCACCATATAATTTTCCACACAACACTAGACTAATAAAATAAATTTTTTCTCAATTAAAGGCATACTTTAATATAAGCACATATCATTATAATTGTACATGCTATCCTATAATAAACTTAATTTAATATGTTGATTAATAGAGTAAAGTTGAAGTTGTCACTAATATCAAGAATGATCTATTTTTCATACAGGGCGCTACACCAACTTTTTGACATCAAAAAATGTGAAATTTATGACAATAGCCATGCAATATTTTTATTTTCTGAAAATTATTTAAATGCACCTGTTTTTGAAGAAATGTTTTTTGTTTTTACTGAAACAAAAATGTTACAAATATATTTTATTACAAACTAAAAAAATATGAAATAGTGGGAAATATTGTTCATAAAATGATATCTGCTATTTAGTTCCACCAAGATGACAGTTTTAAATGTGGTTTATTAATTTGGAAATTTTCCATGTGACTATTTTGTCTAATTTGAGCGCATATGTAATTTTACCTATTAAATAAATGTCATTGGAAGTATATTTTGAAATGGATTTTCTTTCTTTGGTTCTTTTTAAAACTTGAATTTTACAAAACATTAAAAACAAAGTCTGACTTGTCTTTCTTTACTCTAAGTGCATAAGTGTAAGTAGGCAGCAATGTAACAAGTGACAGCTGATTTAGAAACAAAATGAATAACATACCAATTTCACCTTTAAAAAACAAGATTGCAAGTTAGCCAGATGATTTTGCATTTTGGCTGATGTGGAGATTTTGGTTTTTAAGTTGTAAGTTACACATGGCTGAGACACACTATTCCTTGTGGCTATTGCTTCAATATTTTTTTAACCTGAAATTTTCCTGAACCTCTTTATTCAATTGGGCATATTCTGCACTTCTAGGTAAGAATACATTTTTCACTAAATTGTGAATAATTTTTTTAGCTTTGTAAATAGAGCTCAAATTCTGTTTTTTTCAATAGAATTCATAGAATAGAATTTCAATTCACCCAAAATTAGAAGAAATATCAATACCATCATATCTGAAAACATTTGTTTTCAGATATGGTGGTATTGAGATTTGAAGAAAAAAAATTTCTTCAACAATGTAAAAATAATATTAACAACCATAATATAATAAAAACCATATTAACAAATGATTTAAAAAATAAAACATAGCTGCATTATTTTATATAAAATAATTTTATATTTTATTATAATTATATAATTATAATAATAATTATATAAAATTTTATATAATATAAAAATATCAATTAGATCATAAATAATTTCATTTTATTTATGAAATGACTGATACAGCTGATAAAATATTATCTTTAATTCACATTTTAATTTGTAAAAAGTTGAATAGTTTCAAATTTTTAATGGAGGTAAATTAAAACTTAATTAACTTTTTAATGACAATAGTAATTAATTAAAGTTTTAATTTACCTCCATTAGAAATTTGAAACTATTCAACTTTTTACAAATTAAAATGTGAATTAAAGATAATATTTTATCAGCTGTATCAGTCATTTCATAAATAAAATGAAATTATTTATGATCTAATTGATAATATTTTTAGGTCATTAACTTTATTTAAGTTGTTACAATTTTTAAAACAAAAAAAAAAGTTTGCCGAAGGTAGGATCGAACTTGGATCGCCCGCATGGCAAGTGAGTTTGCTACAGACTCAGTCATTTCACTGTGCTGCCATAGTGTAAAATCNGTAAATTAAAACTTTAATTAATTACTATTGTCATTAAAAAGTTAATTAAGTTTTAATTTACCTCCATTAAAAATTTGAAACTATTCAACTTTTTACAAATTAAAATGTGAATTAAAGATAATATTTTATCAGCTGTATCAGTCATTTCATAAATAAAATGAAATTATTTATGATCTAATTGATAATATTTTTAGGTCATTAACTTTATTTAAGTTGTTACAATTTTTAAAACAAAAAAAAAAAGTTTGCCGAAGGTAGGATCGAACTTGGATCGCCCGCATGGCAAGTGAGTTTGCTACAGACTCAGTCATTTCACTGTGCTGCCATAGTGTAAAATCGATCAGTATATGAGCTGAGCTTAAAACTTTAGAGCCTTTTTTTCTCAGAATCTTCTGGCTAATGTGCTTTACAATTCTTCTGTGTGGACACCCTTGAGGTATGCTACTAACCTGCAAAGTCTCATCCCAAACTGAATTTCCAAGACTAAGGTCTCCTTGTTAGTGAAAAAACAATTTTTAATTTCTTGTTTTATAATCTTTAAACATGAGGGATGATAATGTTACACAAAAAACCTAAACTAAAATTTTATCTGGTTCTATCCTTGTCAGCAATAGGAATCATATTTGGTTCCTCCTTTTAATGAATAATTCCGAATAATACATTTGATCACAATATAAACAGTATTTTACATGTCATGTCAATTTTTATTGTAGTCTGCTGAAAAAAGGTCAAAGAAGTCTCCCGAACAATTTCTGAAATTTTCTGTTAGTTGATAAGTCTCCGATGTGGAGAAACTAGGCAGTATTGCACAAAACTGCCTTCAGTTCCCAATGTGACTTCTACTTTCCTGCCCAAATTTGCCATGTAACGTCATAAAATCACTAGGTCAAGGGTTGGCAGGAGTGGCTCTTTGGACAAACTCCAATTTCACCTCATCTCAAACAGCCTTTTAACTTATGAGTTTGAGATAATCTGCCGAACAAAGTTTGATTCATATGGCATACTCCCTATCACTCTTTAGCCTGTCCACACATGACCACACTCACGTTGATCAATATGAGTTGCATGCAAGTGAATTTGAAGCATATTTATCTATCTATATATATAACCCATTGAACATGTGTCCATCCGTCTGTAACGTTATGCCAAAAACAGCCACTAGAGGCATCCTGTTGTTTTATATTGCACATTTAAATTAACAATATAAATTATTTACATTAACAGTATAAATTATTATTATTCATTTGACCAATAACAATATAAATAATTCAGTATATTTGTAATAGGAATTTATTATTGTCACGGAATGCCTGTAATGCGCACTAGGAAGCGTTTCTCTGGTATATTTATGCGGCTTTCTGGTACTTCTGTTATCCTGTTTTCATGACAATTTGGCTCCCCTGCACTAGGTATATGGTGCATGGTACTTGACATCTTCCTGTTTTTCCTTAAGTGTGCTTTGTTGTTTAGTTTCATGCTGAATGTCCAAATAAAAATCCTAGATCACTTATTACTTGTGTTTTATTGCCACCTTAATAAAAATATTGCGAAGGGGTGATTTTGTCACTATGCAGCATTACCTGAATTAATTTTATTTACTATTAAATATTTCACTGATAGAAAAATGGCATGTTTTTTTCCTGTTCCATTTTTTATTAACAACTCTAAAACCTGTTTTTACAGAAGCACCAAGAAAATAAAACCTTGGAAAACATGCATAAAGAAATTGTAGCTGAAGCTGAAAGATTAGAAATAAAAGAAAAAGCTCCTCTTGTACTTTGCGAACTTCTGTTTGATAAAAATATTATGCAACAAATAAAGACTCATCGCCTCCTTTTTCTTAGAGTGAGTAACATTTTCCTATTTGTAATAACAAAAGGTTTGACTTGGATTTTAAATTTGTTGCTTATTATTATTTTTTTTTTTTTTCAGTTCACTCATGACAATTCTAAGGCACAAAAGTATTTGTTAGGTGGATTGGAACAAGTTATTAAAATTCACCGTGATGCTCTATTGCTCCGCGTTCCTCATATCCTCAATGCTTTCTACAATGCCGACATTCTAGAAGAGGAAGTCATCTTAGAATGGTCAAAAAAGGTGTGTTTACACTTGTAAACTTGAACTTTTTTTGGTGTTAGTATGTCAAATACACAACGTCAAATTTTTTTGTTTAGGTTTCTAAAAAATACGTAAGTAAAGAATTGGCACAAGAAATTCACGAAAAGGCCAAGCCATTCATCTCCTGGCTTCAGGAAGCTGAAGAAGAAGACTCTAGTGGTGATGAAGAAGGGGGGGAGGAGGAAACTGTAGAAGTGAGTGTTTGTTTTCTAAATTGTCAAATCTTAGTATATGGGTGGCTGTAACTAAAACTTCCTTACTCAGAGCTGAACCAATAAGTGGATTGACATTAAAATTTGTTTAGACTAAGTAAAGGATGAAAAAAACATTTTGCAAAGCGAAAATTTAGTTCAAAAACTTCTGCTAAAATATGCTATGACATTTGGTCTGTTTGGTAAATTCCCAAATTTTTAAAATTTTCAGCTGGCTTTTTGAAAGCTGTTCAGCCATTCTTCAACATTCCTGGAATGAAGCACATGTATAGATCTTTTTTGTATTCTCTGTTCCCATCATCCAACGAAGCTTAGTAATATGATCATGTGTCCCTCTTTCTTTTCGGAAACCTGCCTGCACATCTGGCATTCCTTTGTCTATGGGTAAATACATATGTTGAATGATTTCATTTGGAATATTATGCAGTTTTGTTAGTGACTTTTTCTTTATCAAGTTAGTTGCCTTTCAAGGTCAGTTTTATTTAGGAAATACAGTGGTACCTCAGGTTACGAACGCCCCAGCATACGAAATTTTCAGGATACGACATGAAATTCGAACGTATTTTTGCTCCACGATACGAACAAAAACTCACCATACGACGTTACATTAGTTCGCATTTTTCATTTGTTTTTCTTACTACAGTTATTTTTTTAATGTATTACTTGGCTTTAATTTGAGTATGTTTTTTGCGTTGGAACGAATTATTTGGTTTTACATGTAATCGTATGGGAAAAGATGATCCACCTTACGACATTTTCATGATACGATCTCAGTTTCGGAACGGATTAATTTCGTATCCTGAGGTACCACTGTAAAAAGTTGTTGGTACTAGGTTGGGTGAGTAAGGAGGTTGTAGAATGACTATTGTCTTGTGCTTTGCCAAAAACTGACATGTTAATTATTGATTTTGTTTGGAATGTTCATAGTGTTTTTTTTTTTCTTAAAAAAAGTGTTTTAAAACTAAACTTATACTTTTATTCTATTACGTATGCACCATTGTTTCTAATGACATGTTGCTACCTATGGGGGAGCTTCATGATATATCCTTTTTGTAGAACTTTCCAGTTTTTTCCTGTGAAAAAGTGATCCACGTGGTTTTTGCAAGCTTTTAAAGTATCAAAGTTTTTATCATAAAGTGAATTTTGCAGAGAATGGAACAAATGGTAATCTGACAGGGCAAGGTCTGATGAGTATGGGGGTTGGATAAAACATCCCAGCCTAGTTCCAATACTTTTTGGTGTTTTTATAAAGATGTGAGATCTGGCATTATCTTAGTGAAACAATACCTTTTTCTATTGGTCAGTTCTGGACATTTTTCTTTAATTGCCATGTTCAGTTTATTCCATTGGGAACAATACTTATCAGAATCAATTGTTTGATTGTGGAAGCAGCTTGTAGTACGGGATTCCTTTCCAATCCCACCAGATAGTGATCATAGCCTTCTTTGGATAAAGACCAGCCTTTTTTGTAGTTTCTAATGGTGGTGGTTTTCTTACCCCATGATCGTTTTTGACCGATGATGTTATAAACGATCCACTTTTCATCACCTGTCACTAAACTCTTCAGAAAATGTTTTCATTGTCTTTCAAGTGAATCACAAATGGAGATATGATCTAATAAGTTTTTTTCTGTTAAGGTAGCCAAATGTCATAATTCACTTATCCGAACTTCTTTAGATGTTGAAATACAATACTGTTGTATGACTTCTCTGTCTGCAATCTCTTGAGTTTGTGTAATGAGGGTTTTCATCTAATAATGCTTTGATCTGATCGTCTTCAATAATGGGAGGTCTTCCTGAGTAGGGAGCATCTTCAAGGCTGAAATTATCTGCTTAAAATTTTGCAAACTACTTTCAAACAGTTGATTCTGCTACAGCACTCCCACCATAAACATCGCACTTTTTTTGCTGTCTGTACAGCATTTTTGCCTTTACAATAAAAAAAAAGTCAATAATTCATTGGTTTGTACGATTCTAATCATTTTGTCAGTGTCTCAACTGTTGGCTCGCAAAAATTGCTAAGAACTTTCCGAACCACTCAAAAATAGCAATATGTGCATAGGTGTATCTATCAGTTTGACCTCCAAGCATTGTTCATTTTTCTTCTGATGGCCTCATAAGTTGTTTTTATTTCAAGATAACTTATTCCTTTTGTTACTGTTCTGCCTTGAAATTCCTGGTGAATAACTGAGAATCAGGGAAAAAAATTGTCAGCATGTCTTTAATGCTTTGACACACTTGTCTTTCAGTTTTGGTGATTTTTTTCATAACCACTGGTATAATTGATTTTTTTTAATATTTCAATAAACCCATGTCTTATGTCATTCCAGTAATGATTTTAAAGTAATTTTTTTAGCTCAGCTGTAAAGCTCCTAACTCTCAACTCATTTTTTTTTCTCTCGTTAGTCAAAAGGCAAGGCACAAATTTTGGTGTAATGGGACTTGTGCTTAAATTTTGTCAGTTTTTGAAATATTTGTTCTTGTGAAAATTGCTTATTTTAAACAAAAGAAATGCAGAATCACTTAACACTGGTTGATACAGTCATATAGCATGATAACTAAGCAATATATTACATTGTGGTTTTTGCTAGACTACTTACCAATGTTGCGACTACATTGAAGCATGATAAACATTGTAGTGCTTGCTGGTTGCCAAATTAGAAAGTTTCTGAATTTTTATCGGACAGATTTCATATATAGTTTATTGTGGAAATGTTGCAACTGTGACAGACTTAAAGGATTGTAATATGCCACACCTTCAAAGCATTACCAGAGAGCAGTTGCAATTGGCTGTAAAACACACTGTTCGTTGCCTTCAAATTTTACACCTAAACAATGGGAGAACACGTTGAGCCACGTTCCTTATCAGTAAATGGCCTCCGAAGAAGCAGCCCTTGCGAAACAGATTTTTCTTTTATGTATTCTGTAAAACACCTCCTAACAGAAGTTTTTGAACTAAAATTTGTTTTACAAAATCCTTTTCTCATTTGCACAAGTCATATATAGATTTTCGTGTCATTCTGTCTACTGGTTTCAGCTATAGTGCTCTGAATAGGGAAAGTTTAATTAAGGCCTCACTGTATCTAAAAGTTAAATATTTTAGCATGGTTTCTGTAGTGCTTTTGCTTTCTTTAATATGTAATCATTAGAAGTGCTGTTTTTAATGTTTGTTACGTTTCAGGTTGTATATTCCGATCGGCACATCAGCAGTTCGCTGAAAGAAGTGAAAGAGGAGCCGAAATCGAAACCTGCCGACACGTCAGTTGTCGCACACGACGACGACGACATCGACATTGACGCCATTTAAATTCTCCAATCAGAGACGATATTGCCGGCATTTTGGATGACGTTATTTGCTTTATCGGTTTATTCTTATTATACATTATATATATTATATATACACAGTGCAGTAATAACGAAAATTTCTCGAATGTATCTTTTTATTACTCTTCTAGCTCCACAAATATTCGATGGCATGTGATCCAAGTCTTTTTTAATCACCACACCGGTGATGTTAGATGATAATTTATGTTCATAATATCAATAAAAATAATTTTAAAGCAGATTCACGATATTTCAATTACATGGGTTGAGAGGAAAGGGTTCATACCTCCTGAAAATAACGCTCTTTTAAGTTCCAGGACTAAGTTGACGTAAAAGAAAGAACACCATTGCCTTGCCAGCATTACAGTAGTGTTTAACGAAACAGTTACACGCAGTAGATTGTAATTGTGTTAATTTCATGCGAATTACACTGACGACCACCACCAACCAAACGTCGTTTGTTCGGTAACTGAATAGATGTAATATGGCAACCATTAAATGCTCTAAAACTTCGCTGCCGCCATTGTTACTATAGAGTACGAAACAGTGCACTACACGCAGATTGGAAAGTTTAAATACGTTTTAAAACGTCACTTCTACGTTCGAGCGCGGTGTCACTTTGATTAAACCTGGCAAGTATAATGGAACGTATTTTATACATTAAGTTGGTTGTAATAGAATTCTAAAACACGTAAATGGGCGAACAACAGTAGCGGTAGTACCTATTTGGTTCAGACAACGTCAGAATAAAAACAAATTAATCATCTCTGGCATGTGCCTGCCTGTTACAAAGCAGTGGATGCAGATGTTCGTCATGACTGACGTTGAGATATGTATGGTTACCATGTCGTTATCAAAGTCACGTGTCACTCATGACAGCTGTAAAGAACCAAAGAACAATTTTGCAGCACAAATATGAGGATGTTTGTTTCCATATAAACTCAGGCCGTTCGACCAATTGTTACGAAACTCGGTAGTTACGTTTAAATACTAAAGGTACTGTACAGTACATTCCACCTCAAATTATCGGTTGAAATTTCTATAAATCAATTTCCATCAACATTCGATTTGCTACTTTACAGAAGTCTATTGGCAAAAATTTAACTAAAACAACATACTGTAATTCTTACCAAAAAAAAACATAATTTTTAAAAACATATATTCATTTAATTACCGAGAGAATAATATAGTGAGAAATAGATGCACCACTGCGACAGGTCGTGCACAGCACTTTGTCTCCCCAGTACATCATACATAACTGGCATGATTATTACTAACATATATTCATTTAATGTTGGAAATCATAAATATCATCATTTTGGAAGACAAAAGACCGAATGTATTCAGAAAGTTTTACAGTGTTAGCGAAAGCCAAATAATACCCCATAACATAGAAGAAATTAAATTTGAACATTTGAATGCCATATCTAAGTTTTAAAATTCGAATTTTTCTTTAAATATTTAATTTTAAAAGGAACACACAACAGGATGTTTGAATTATGTACAGATACTACGGCACATTTTATCGGACTCGTTCAAAACAGTTCAATTAAACAAAACAATATAGGATAAACATTGGTATCTTTGTGATACTTTTTAAATTTTATCTTTATGAAATAAGTAATTTAAGGTGAGATTCGCAATTTTACTCGTAGATAGCGTGGAATGTATTAGATTTGATAACTTTGTTTCAGTAAACTGACATTTTATAACTGTTAGCAAACAATCTCTATTGTAAAAAAGGTAATATGTAGAAGTGTTTTAGCAGACAAGTTTTATTTTTAATTTACAAACAAATATTGATAATAAGTTAATGATTCTTTGATATTTCAATAAACTAAAATCTGAAGATACGTTAAAACAAGCAGTTACTATTTTTTTTAATTGAATTGTCCGTATAATTTTCTTAGCTATTTGGACAATATTCTTAGCTTTTCCTGTGAAATCCTAGACATAATGTGAGAAATCTGAAAATCTTTGATGTGATCTCCATACTTAAAAAAAGATTTATTTCTCGTTTGTTCTAATTTTTAAAAAATGTCGAGAAAACAACTTTGTTAAAACGGCCATTAAAATCTATTTACTTTTGATATTTCACTAACGAGGAAAAAAAACTTACTTTAGCAAGATAAGGTCACTTCCCTCAATACTGAAACTTCACTTTAAAGTTTGTTGAAACACTGTGGTAAGAACAACCTTCTCTTTGGAGGAGTTATCTGGTATAGAAGCGAAGACTGTCCTCAGAAACCGGTTTTCTAGCGGTTCTCTCACGTTCTCTTTGAAGTTCGAAAAGAACCTTTACTATTTTCTACAAATGTTCGAAAAAGTTCTCACGGTTCTCTCATATCTCAAACTTTCAGATCTTCATTCTCAGTTCTCTTGGCATTATTTTTATTAGTGTGCCCACCAGTCCCCAAGTGGTCTTCCTACCTGAACACTGGTAGTTTGGTAGTGGGTTAGCGCCTCGCCCGGACAGTTTTCCTTAAAATGACCTGTTGAAAGGCATCTAGGTAGATCGCCCAAGTGTTGAATTGCCATAACTTAATCTCGCTTAAACTTGAGGACATGAGTGCTTGTTATTTCGAAGCGACATCATGCATGTTAAATGCCCAATGAAATTAAAAAGTCGTTGTAGAGATGAATGTAAATTGACAGCAATCGTAATCTCGATAGGCATGTAGAGCGAGACCAGCTTAAAAGCGGTGATCGACCGTTGACTTTATATGACAAATTTTGATCTCAAATATCTGTCCATAGATGGAATTTCAAAACTTGGCATTGTCAGTATATCGGTCTTGCCGAGTTATACATATTCTGTTACGAAATGATAGAGGCAGTGTGAAACAATGATATAGAAAAAAGAAGCGCACGACAAATAAATAAAACATAATAAAAACACCAATTCTAAAATTTTTATCAGGTAAGAATAATTTTATTAAAAGCTGTAATGAAATAAAAACTTCAATGAACTTTAAATTAACAATGTTGTATAGGTTATATTTGTACTAAAATTATAGAACACATCAACACTTAAATAATAACCGATTTTATTAAGAATCGGAACGGGAATTAATATAATCAAAATATGGAGTTAAATACATCTATCGAGAATTGCGTTGTTTTTAGATGCCTGAGAAGAGACTCTAAGACATTCTCTTTAATTTTCGATGAAATTATTGTTTCTACATGAGAAAGTGATATTTTTCCTCAAAATCGTTATTTAATTACCCTGAGAAAATAAATGTATCTTCTACATGTTGTTTACATTAATTAAGGGAAACCACATTTGTCACTTTTAAAAAGGACAAATCGAACTTCCCTTATCTCCAGTTTTGATAACTTTCTGGTTAATCACCTCTCTGCACGTCTCTCACACATCTCGTTAACAGACCTAAACCAGGATTGTGATTGATCAGGATTTTCGGATAAAAAAGCAATTTTCCCTGATTCGAGGAGTCTCTTAATTTCTAACTGGTGCTCTAAACTACAAGTCTTTCTCAATGAAGATTTCGACCTGGGCATCCAGCGTGCCCGCCTGAACTTCGTCGCATCGATCATCATCCTCCTCGACCTCGTTTGCCAAAGAACACTGCAGCATTTCTCCGCTTTCATCATTCGACTAAGAAACCGAAGTCATCCTACTAGCGAGGTTATATATTTATCTAATGTAAACTCTCTCTCTCTCTTTCTGTCGCGAATAGATAGGGAATTTTAAATCTCTTCTCTCATCTGTATTTTATTTTTGTTTTATTCATCTTTAATAAATTTTATTTTGTTGATTTAAATAATGAACTCAACGTTACTGAACTCAACTCTGTGCCAAAATCTTAACACGAATGTACGATTTCTCTCCCTCGGAAACGTTTATTAATGTACTCTAATACATTAATTAGCATGCTAACGCTCTAATTAGGCTCAGGAAAAAATCTCACAGGGACGTTTTACGTCCTTCCTGTACCCAAATTTTATACTCTTAAAATCCCTCCTAGTGACCCTGCAAGCGGATCTTCCAGATCTGAGGCCGGACACGTAAGAGAAAACATTTCCTATCCCTGGATTCTCAGATTACAGTCGACCCCTAATAACACGGTAGATGCGTTCCGTTCTTTATGAATCTATTTTGTACGAGTCCTTTCGGACACGTATGCATTTTACGGACTACGGCTGTTTGAAAGGTTTTCTTCCATAAAATTAATTGATTCCTAGACTAATTCGACTCAACATTTCCAAAACACGTATATTTTTTTTGGAATAATCAATATAAATACGCTA